GTTAATGTTTTCTCTATCTGATCTCATGACTTCAAGCTTTTTGGTAAGTTTCTCAATGTGTTGCTGGTTTTCAAACTTGAATTTAGATGCACTTGAATTTTTCTTTGAGCCTGTAAAAAGAAGTGCCAAAACAAGGAGTTGCCCATGCTTGCCGAACAATATCTGTAAACCCATCCATACCAATCCATTTTCTGTCAAAATGGAAACGAGATTGTTTTTTTTCCTTCTGGTTGTCCCATATCCAGTAAGAACAAAAAATGGTCAGATGCACGTCTTACTGTTGTAGATACATTTGCATTTGGGAAAGCAAGAAGCCAGTCAGGGGATGCAAAAGCCCTATCAAGCTTTTCCTCCACTAGCCCTTCTTCAACTATGAGGTTGCACCAAGTATATTTATAACCTCTCATTTGCATTTCTTCCATCTCCATCTGGATTATGAAAGAATTAAAACCCATAAAACTCCTGGCAGGTCTGTAGATGCCACCAGACTTGTCATCCATAGAGCACAACTCGTTCCAATATCCTATGGCAAACCAATTATGGCCCCACATACTTTTAACTGCCTCCAATTCAGCTCATTGAGAGGCTCTGATATGTCTGCAGGGGTTAAGGTAAACAAAAACACCCCATTGGGGATCCAAAGAACCCAATTGAAACTCCACAGCAATATAGAATTGTTTAGTATGAATTTTCCTAATAATAACATGAGGATTCCAAAATAGTAAGCCCATTTGAAGCATGATTTTCTTAATACTAAGCCATTCCACACTATCAAAAGCTTTCATGATATCAAGCTTAAGAGCCATGAAGAAATTCTTACCTGTATTGTGTCTGTTCAAAACATGAAAGGCTTCATGAGCCAGGACAACATTGTCCATGAGTTGTCTGCCCTTTAGAAAACCAGACTGATAAGGGCTGATACATAAGTGCAGGCATCCCATTAGTCTCTGAGCCAGAACTTTGGACAATATTTTGTAGACTACACTGCAGAGGCTGATGGGTCTGAAATGCCCCAGAGTTTCAAGATTAGTGATCTTTGGTATCAGTGAGAGTATTGTATGGTTCCAGTATTTGAGAAGGGCTCATGTCTAAAGAAACGGAGAATGGCCTTCATGATAGCAGTCTTGATGAAGCTCCAGCAGTGTTGGTAGAATAGTGCACTTATGCCATCTTCTCCTGGTGTTTTTTCAGGGTGCAGAGAAAAGAGGGCAGCCTTAACTTCCTCTTCATTCACAGGTCTTAGAAGCTCTTGGTTCATCTCTTCTGTGATTGTTTGAGGAATAAGGTGGAGTATGGAATCTCCATCCCAGCTCCCTTCAATAGAGAATAGGTTGGCATAGAAGTCTGAGATATGTTGTTTAATGTCCTGTTGTGTGGTGTATGCAGTGCCTTGAGTAGAGAGTAACCTGGTGAAAGCATTGAGTCTTCTGTTTTGCTGAGTGTAAGAATGAAAGAATTTAGTGCTACCATCTCTCTCCTTGAGCCACTTCAGCCTAGATTTCTGTTGCCAGTGTAGTTCTTCATGAGTGTGAGCTTTTTCTAGGTCTTTTCTGGTGGTATCCCACAGCTCCCAGTTAATGTTTTCTCTATCTGATCTCATGACTTCAAGCTTTTTGGTAAGTGTCTCAATGTGTTGCTGGTTTTAGAATTGAATTTAGAACTCTAGTGAAGAAGTACAAGTCTGGTGCATTTGACTTTTTCTTTGAGCATGTAAAAAGGAGTGCCAAAACAGGGAGTTGCCCATTCTTGCTGAACAATATCTGTAAATCCATCCATATCAATCCATTTTTTGTCAAAATGGAAACGGGATTGTTTTTTTTTTTTTTTTTTTTTTTTTTTTTTTTTTCTTGTGGTTGTCCCATATCCAGTAAGAGCAAAAAATTGTCAGATGCACTTCTTACTGTTGTAGATACATTTTCATTTGGGAAAGCAATAAGCCAGTCAGGGGATGCAAAAGCCCTATCAAGCTTTTCCTCCACTAGCCCTTCTTCAACTCTGAGGTTGCACCAAGTATATTTATAACCTCTCATTTGCACTTCTTCCATCTCCATCTGGTTTATGAAAGAATTAAAACCCATAGAACTCCTGGCAGGTCTGTAGATGCCACTAGACTTGCATCCATAGAGCACAAATAGTTCCAATCTCCTATGGCAAACCAATTATGGCCCTACATACTTTTATCTGCCTCCAATTCAGCCCATTGAGAGGCTCTGATATGTCTGCAGGGGTTAAGGTAAACAAAAACACCTCATTGGGGATCCAAAAAACCCAATTGAAACTCCTCAACAATATAGAATTGTTTAGTATGAATTTTCTTAATAATAACATGAGGATTCCAAAAGAGTTGTAAACCTCCACTTAAGCCAACTGGGTCAACTGCGGCGATTCTATCTACAAAACCCAATTTTTTAACAATTGATTTAACAAAAGCCAAAGGTTTTTTAGTTTCTGACAGAAAAAAGAAAACTGGGTGGTGAGTCCTGATTGACTCTCGAATTTGGGAAATTGCTGGGTGGTGAGTCCTTATTGACTCTCTAATTTGGGAAATTGTAGAGGGCCCACCCAGCCCTCTACAATTCCACACCGCAGCTAACATTTGTCAGCTGGGTGCCGCTCAAGGCTGACAACCCCCACCTGCTCACTTTCAGCTTTCTGTCTTTTACCTTCATTTGATTCTGGATGATCATGGCCTGTTTGATTAGGTTCACTGATTTGAAGTGGTCTTGTTCTTTTCCCTGAATTGTTTGGTCTTTGTCATTAGGGGTATCTGAGTTTCTTTGCAGTTTTCTCTCTTTGGTTCTCATTCTTTTCCAGGTTTTTTGTTTGCCATAGTCATTTCTTGATGTTGTATTTGATGAGAAGAAGTTTGAGTGGAGTGGACAGTTTGGTTTGCAGTATCAATTTCCATGGTTGTTTGGTTGGTCACAGGTTGCAAGATTTGTTTTGACTCTTTGAGAGGCTGGGATTGGTTTAGATTATGAGAGGATATTGATTGAACTGGTTGAGGGCCTGAGAGAGGTGTTTGGCCTATAGGTTCTGAGGTATAAGGGATTATATGATGTCTGGTTTCAACTGGAGTGGATGAGTGAGGTTGGTTTTAGGTATCTTCATTAGCAGATGGGGCTGTATGTTGAGGGGAGTGCCTAGAACTAGAAGGGCTGATTTCTACCCAATTATGGCCTTCAACTGCTTTTAACCAATCGTCGTATTGCCCCTCATTGACTGCATTGGATCTTATGTCAGAGAGACGCTTTGGGAACCCTTTGTCAAGATGGCCGATCATACCGCAGTAATGGCACAAGTTATCTAATTTTTCATAACGGAAGCTTACACTTACCAATTGATCTCCCAGTCGGATATTAGCACATCGAGTGAGGGGCTCCTCCAAATCGAGAGAGACTAGCAAGCACAGAATTTTGCCTCCATGGTTTTAAGAGCTGGCAATGATTACATTTTTTACTTGTTTGAACATTTGGCCAATTTTGAGTCCCACGTCCGTGCTTAACCAATTGAATGGTACGTTGAGAACCTGTACCCAGATCTTAAGTTCCATGAAGTAGGGGTGCTTGCTTGAGATGTCATCTTGCCATTCTTTGAGTATGATATATTGATTCTCGAAACTCCAATTAATGCCCCCAGCCACTTTGACAAGACCATCTCTATTCTGAAAAGTGAACTGAAAGTAGTTTGGACCCAACTCCTTAACCTCCATGGGTTGAGAGAGACGCCAAATATGCGTCATCGCCCTTTTAAGCCCGATCCAACTGGCTCGCCTATCGCCGACAATTTTTCCGAAGAGGCTTCGTTGACATTCATCTGCACTCAGACGGATATCCTTTTGAGCTATATCAATGATGTTAGCTTCTCTATCCGAGAGTGAGAAGCCCTTTAATCTATCGGATAATTCGTCATCTTGAGTTGCCTTAAATTGATCTTCCATTAGGTTGAGACTGAGCGAGAGATGCAGAACATAAAACGATTGCTAATAGTATTGAGAACACTGAATAGATATTGAAATAAGAAGAGAAACACAACGAGACTGGAAAGAAACCGATCAAAGTTGCTCCCAACCGAGAGAATTCCGGTGACTGCTCTCAACGAGAGAATTTGGATATGTATGGTGTTTGTTTATTTTCTTAGTTTCAATAAGATAAATCTTGATTGAATGAAAAGGAAAGGAACAAAGTCATATATAAAAGTTTCTCCTTTTATTTTTTTTAAGTAGGTAAAATTTTTAGTTATAAATATAATTTAAAAGTTACTTTCGTGGAAAATTGTACATTTATGTGAACTATTAATTAACTAATTTTTTTTGTATCAAATTTACAACAACTTATGTGGAAATCTATGTGAGTTATTAATTAACTAAAATTTTTGGGATCAATTTAACTATGTAAGTGAATTAATTAATACAATAAGAAAGATTTTTATTTTTTTCTTCTTACTATAACTCATATTAAATAATTATTCAATTACATATAAAGTCCAAATCTAAGAAAAAAAGGATAAATACTGATGATTCCTAAAAATAAAAATAAATAAAAAGTAATTAATGATGGAAAAACAAAATGCAATAAGTTATTTTATAATTTTGAGAAAGATTCAATTATATATATTCCCAAATGCACCTACACAATGAAAATTAAAATTCTTAATTGGTTATTTATATAATCCTAAATACTATTTAAAAGTTTTCTTCAAAATTTCAGTGTGGAAATGGATCCGCCCCTGGTGATGGGTGAGATGAATTTAAGTTTAATGGTCATAACCCTGTTTTTAAGAAAACTTTTTCAACTATGGTGATGGGTGAGATGAATTTAAGTTTAATGGTCATAACCTTGTTTTTAAGAAAACTTTTTCAACTTTGTTTTATCATAGACGTCTAGGTTCTTACTCACATATTCCTTCTTATTTTTATTATCTGATTCATATCTCATCTCCATCGTTTCCGTAACATCCATTAAATAGGATTAATATTAACAAAAAAAAAAAATTAATTAGCGTATTGTTTCTCATAAATAATAAAAATAAGAGAGTATCAAACATTATTGGGTGGGGAGTTTATCTTGTTATACCAAAATATATTCCTAACTTTCAGAAGCGAAACCGAATCCATATGCACTTTATTGAACTAAAGAAACAGGGTGACAGTCTACATACATACTCACTCATGAAGCTTATTTATTAAACTATGGCAGTCTACATACATACTCACTCCTGTAGCTTATTTATTAAATTAATTGGTTTGAAACGAATAGCTCGTCAACCATGGCTACGCAGATTACATAGAGTAAACTAGAGAAAGTAGAAGAAAAGCACAGACACGCACGCTCATTTCATTTGATTTCATTTCGCGAGCAAGTTTTTAGCTGCAGTATTCAAAATGGTAACCAGAGCCTCTGAAGAAACCATAGCAGCAGCATTCTCATCTTTGGCCACATACTCTATAGTACCTTTGCCGATGCACTCGTTTTCAGAACCTTCCTTTTCAATCACTTCCCACCGATAAAGAAAAGTGCTGAAACCAAAGTCGAGATAGCCGCCCTCAAACAGCTCTGCCACCTTCACTCGTTTCCCATTGTCCACCACTGTCAACTTCTCCTTACTTGTGGCCGGTCCACCTATTTGTAAATTATCAATCAAGTTACAATATAGTTGAATGTGGAATTTCTATTTATTTAATTTGATTGCAATGAATGTTTGTATACAAAAATTTTCACTCAAAATTTCATTCAACTCAAAATCTAACTCAAATATAATTCAATTCCAATATTCTTTCAATATTATCAATATAATTAAATAATATCTTCCAAATATTCTTACATATCATATATGTTTTAATTCAATATATACTTTTAATTATCCATCACTTCATATCATTTATGATATGAATCTCGTACTTTTACATCAAATCAACTTTAATTATTTTAAAGTATATCTAAAATCTCACTAAGAACTAATCATATTATCTTTTTTCATCCAAATTTTATTAAAATCAAGACCACTATAATTCGTATTTTGGAAAATCCAAGATCACTCCTGATGCACTAGTAATGAAAAGGATACAATAAAAACATGACAATGAACTTTAGTATTTTCAAAACAAAGCCTTCAGATCCTATACTCGTATTTCAACACATATCCTGTAATTGAGGTACCTGGAGCGTAGAAGACTTGGAGGATGGTCCCTACACCGCCGTCGCCTTCCAAGACAACAATCTTGGTGATCAGATCTGAGAGCGCCTGCTGGACGATGTCAGCAAATTCCAGGCCGCCGAACAACTTCCACGCTTCGCTTGCTGATACCTTCAACTCCCGCTGCTCCGACACGCTTCCAGCAATATTTTTCTCCATTTTTTTTTTTTTTCTCGCGAGATCTGGAATTGGAATTGTGTGTGTAGGAATAGGATAGATGATGACCTAGTGAACAATATTCCTCCAGAGTAGTCCTCTTTATAGTATTTGCAAATTGATGCCCTAGGCTCTCCTCCTAATTTATTTCTGTTTCCTTACCTAATTACCTTACCCAGAGATTAGAAGCATGTGAACGAGAATAATGATACAAATTTTGTTGGTTTTGATTGAATTTTTTGATTTGATATAGTTAATTTTGAAAAAATTGTATGATTAGTTGTTAGTGAGATTTTGAATGTATATTAGAATAATATTTAAAATAAAATAATTAAAATTGATTTGATGTAAAATTAGGAGATGTAAAGTGATGGTTAATTAAAATTATGTAAGTAGATGAATAGTGAATTATTCATACTTATATTTGTAATATTGAGTATAGTGAAGTTGAGTTATAAATTGAGTTAGATTTGCTTTAAAATGAGTAATTAGTTAAAAATAATTAAATATTTTTAAATAATTTTTTTTTTTGAGTTTATCTCCAAGCATTTGTCTAGGAATCCTGTCCTAACATCAATTATTAGGGAACGTGTAGGCCCACCCCACCTATTTGAAATTTGAAGGGTGTTGTTAAATACCGTATCCATATTGCTAAATACTGTACTCTTAATTGACACTTTTATCCTTTTAAAAAAAATCTGAAATTTATGAAGGACGTGCGTCTCCCACCCCACCCCCTCCCCTTATGGACATTGAACATCATCT